TTTGGGTATGAAAAAAAAAATCCAAATAATGCATCAGGCATTTGATTTCCAAGAAGCGGCAGCAGAGCAAACACTGTCTCTTTAACTATGTTAAGGTTACGTTTTTTGCTTCCAGATAATGCAGTTAAATGAATAAGAGTGTTTTATGAAGGAACATGAAAAATGTATCTCCACAGCTGTGTTAATCGGTTTTAGTATAACGGGGGGAAAAAAATCTCAAGTTGGCTTGCAGACAAACGGATTTATTTCAGCGTCTTCCTGGACTGCGGTCCTTAAAATGACAATTTCTGGGAATGGGAGGTTTTGTGTTAGTCCGTTCCAGAAAAATAAAAAAATGAAAAAAGATGCATGCTTCCTTTTGCCAGCCTGGAGATCTCCAGATACGCTCAGCTAAAATTCTCATCATCGGTCTGGGGATGATGGGAACCAGAGTCACACAGATCTAGAGAGAGCCTTGGCTTGAGGAAAGCTGTATTAATTTTTTTAGAAAACTAGGGTTCATTTCACCAGATTCCCATTTCAATGGTTGCAAGGCAAGGCTGACAAAAATGTACAATTTTTCCTTTTTATTTTCCCAGAATGACACCCAATATTTTTTTTTTGCTGTAAAACAGGGATGAGGAACTTGCACCCTTCCAAATATTGCTGCAGTGCCTCTCCCAGCAGCTCCTGTCACCATAGCCCCTGGTAGGGGATCATGGGCCTTGTACCAGCAACCACCTGGAAGGCTACACTTGCTGTGAAATGTCCAAGACACCTAACAGCAAAGGCAAAAAATATAACAAGTTAGGATTTAAAAATATATATATACAAAGAAAACAGATTCTATGGAAGAGCAGCAGTCCAAAATACTAGGGAGTGTTTTTTTTCCTTCTGAAAATAAGGAGAATGAATTTTTGTGAGTCCCTTTCAAATTTTGTTGGCGGTCTGAAAGCGAGGAGCAGAGGAACCAGGCCTGCACTTTTGTTAGAGGTAAGACAAAGATTATTTTGGCCCTTAAAAAAAAACTTGCAATATTTGCCATCTACCGCTTTGCTATAAGCGCCCACAAAGTGCAGTGCTCGGACCTTAAACCGACCCGATTCAGGTTCTTAAGATCTTCTACTTCCACCAGAGGAGAAAATCTGTGGTCCTCTTCGTTGCACGTGGGCGCCCCCACGATGTCTGGCTGCACAGAGGTATTGCGGCCTGCGAACGGTGCCATTGTCCCATGACACCAGGGGCCCAATAAGCCTCTCCCTGGCCCTATAAATCTTCAGGCGTGGCCACTACAGGGTCTCGCTCAAACCCACCTGGCTTTCTGGTGGAAAGCTGTCTTTTTTTCCAAGAAATTGCAAGAACGGGCCTTAAATTCAGTGTTATTTATTTATTTAATTCAATTTAATTTAATTTATTTGATGTATACCCCGCCCATCTGGTCTAAAAGACCACTCTAGGCGGCTTTTAATATCAACGTCATAATGAACGTCCATTTGAATTCCCCCCCCTACCTTTCATAATTTATTTGATTTATACCCCGCCCATCTGGTCTAAAAGACCACTTAATATTAACGTCATAATGAAAGTCCATTTGAATTTCCCCCCTTCGCCTACCTTTCAAGCGCATTTCCCTCGCCTTGCAATTCTGCAAACATCTGTCCTCCACGTCCATTGAGCCTTGCCCACATCTGGGCTGTCGCCCGGCGGAGAAAAACTCTCACAACATTCCAGAGTTTCCTTCGACACACAAGGGAAACGCTGCGGCGGAAGGTCAAGCCCTGGTTTTCTTCCTGCTCTCCATGTTTACATTCCCTTCCAGCTCCCTGGAAGTCTGAAAGTGAAGGCTGCTTCCCTTCGGGGCCTGAGCCAAGTTGACTTGAAGCGGAGATCCTTCTCAGGATCTCTCTCGCTTAAGGCAGCATCGGGCCCCACCTCCCCCCGGAGACGAGATTCAGGGGAAATCCTTGAGTTCGGCTTGCCCCTGACCTCAAGATCTTTGCCCTGTCTAGGTTTCATGTTGCCAGATTTTAAGCCCCCCCTCCAACCGAAGCCTAGTGGATTCAGTCATATCTTGAGGACCAGCGACTTAGTCCCTGTTTTGATCATCAGAGTAACAGAACAGGGGAAATCCTTGAGTTCGGCTTGCCCCTGACCTCGACATCTTTGCCCTGTCTAGGTTTCATGTTGCCAGATTTAAACACACACACCCCAACCGAAGCCTAGTGGATTCAGTCATATCTTGAGGACCAGCGACTTAGTCCCTGTTTTGATCATCAGAGTAACAGAACAGGGGAAATCCTTGAGTTCGGCTTGCCCCTGACCTCGACATCTTTGCCCTGTCTAGGTTTCATGTTGCCAGATTTAAACACACACACCCCAACCGAAGCCTAGTGGATTCAGTCATATCTTGAGGACCAGCGACTTAGACCCTGTGTTGATCATCAGAGTAACAGAACAGGGGAAATCCTTGAGTTCGCCTTGCCCCTGACCTCGACATTTTAGCCCTGTCTAGGTTTTGTGTTGCCAGATTTTAAGCCCCCCCCCTCCAACCGAAGCCTAGTGGATTCAGTCATATCTTGAGGACCAGCGACTTAGTCCCTGTTTTGATCATCAGAGTAACAGAACAGGGGAAATCCTTGAGTTTGGCTTGCCCCTGACCTCGACATCTTTGCCTGTCTAGGTTTCGTGTTACCCCCCTCCAACCGAAGCCTAGTGGATTCAGTCATATCTTGAGGACCAGCGACTTAGTCCCTGTTTTGATCATCAGAGTAACAGAACAGGGGAAATCCTTGAGTTCAGCTTGGCCCTGACCTCGACATCTTTGCCCTGTCTAGGTTTCATGTTGCCAGATTTTAACCCCCCCCCAACCGAAGCCTAGTGGATTCAGTCATATCTTGAGGACCAGCGACTTAGTCCCTGTTTTGATCATCAGAGTAACAGAACAGGGTGGCGGCAGGGGGAGTTCAACCTCCTAACTCTGCTTTGCTACTTTGGCCTTCATTTTTTTCGGGCGTCACGTAGTGACTAAAACCAAGAGTGGCGAGTCAGTCCTGCTTTGAGCAAAATTTGATGTTTATGACCGAACACTGTAACGAGGGAGAGAATGCAATTTTGTATCTCCAAAGATAGCAAGCTGGTTCTCTTTTGCCTTGGATTTTATCCCTCTCCTGGAAGAGTTAGGGTGGCCTTAAGGATGATGGACTTCCAGAAGCTCCTCCATTAACAACTCGGTTCTTGCAAATTCGAGACCGTGGTTTCCTTGATTGAGTCAATCCATCTCATGCTTTGTCTTCCTCTTTCCCTGCTTCCTTCAAAGAATGGACACCCCTTGATGGCTGGTTCTTAACTTCCCATGTATACCTCTGGCATCCTAATTGCCTTCTCAAGAACTGGAATCATCATGCCTGTTGGGCCAAAGATGAGTTATTCCCGCTTTAGGTTCTCTCTACCTCCACGTAGGTGAGCACAGAGGGAGCAGTTGCCCGCCCCTGCCTCAAGACGGCAAAATATCTCAGGCCTTCTGTGAATGGGATTAAAAACATTTTAATCCTATTAAAATAGGATTATCAGCAATATCAGTGGCCGGATATACCCTGTGTGGTGTAGGGGGTGGAGTGATGGACCAGGACTTGGGAGACCTGGGTTCAAATCCATACTTGGACATAAAAGCTCATTTGGAAGGTGGAATTAGTAAAACAATGCCTTAATTATCTCACTTACTTTGAAAGTCTCATTAGGGTGGCTAAAAGTCTGTTCTGAGCTTCTGGCAGCTGAATTCTTCTATAGGCCAGGCCACCCCACTGTGGACCTCCAGATGTTCTTGGGACTCCAGATCCCATGATCCCTCACAGTGATTTGGGCACAACATTTTCCCCAGGGAAGGGAAAGAAAATTCAAAGCAGAATTTCCCTCCCCCCCATGCAAAATGTTCTTATTTTTTTCTTCAGGCCACGTTTCCCTTTCTTTTAAACCACAATGGCTGTGGTGGTGTTGTGAAATTCCCAATGAAAGAATGCGATCCACATTTAGTTCAGATTCAGATTAAGGCGACAGGTTTTGCAAGAAGAGGTGTGCACGTGTGTATTTCAGGACTACAGTTCCCAGTATCCCCCCCAAGGCAACATCCCTGGGGGCTGCCTTCCAAAAAAAACCCCCCAGAAATCTCCACATGTAATGGCAAGTGTTTCTAAGAGAGAATGTCAGCGAAAGTGGGGGCGTCTCTACGACCTCATCCGAAAAGAATTAAACTCCAATGCAAACACGCGACCAGACACGCATCCTGCACGCTTCGCTGGAAGTGCCATCCACAAAGCGTGTCAGCAATCTCTGCCCCCTTTCCTCCTTCAACCAAACAAGTCTCGACGCGTCCAGATCTTATTTCCATTAGGGGTAAGATTTTGGCCGGGCTGAGGCCAAAAGCCCCCCCCCCAAAAACCCATGCCCTCTGCGGCTCGTGGTCAAGGAGCATGGGAGCGGTAGTACTCGCTCTGAGGCGAGGAAGGCTCCTGGAAACCCGTCCTAATCGAACCTGATGGTTTTGACTCTCCCCCACCCAGTTTCCAAACTCCAGCCGGATAATGGGGTCTGTAGTCCTGGAGGGATGATGGGGTCTGTAGTCCTGGAGTCTGCGCAGTGCAAGAGATCGCAAGTCCTGGAAAGAAAGGAAGAAAGAAATCTGGGGAAAGGGGGGGCGGAGGAAGCATCTGCTGGATCTCTCCCAGCGGCCAGCCGGCTGACTCTCGAGGAGCGGTGCCTCCCCCCCTCCGCCCAAGCGGGCGGGCTCTTTAAGCCTCCCTTTCCCGGGCCGGTCCCACCCCCGCGCCATCAGTCCCCGCC